CGCTTCCAAATCAGACCGCTGCGCCATGACATTTCGGAAAAATCGAGCGTTGATCCCCGATAGGATAGGCCAGAAAAAAAGACAGAGACATAGTCTAAAGGGCAAAGTGGATTGAGAGGGGAGATCCGAAGGTGCGTGGCAAATGCCCAACATTTTGAGTAATCGAGAATGAAATTTGACTGTCACTCACAATGTTTTTGAACACTCTCACAATTTGATTTAAGCGCAAAAAAAGAAAAATTGTTGAAATACCAATTAATTTTTTCACTTAAGTTCAGTCAATTATCTTTAAAAAAAAGTATCAAAGAGCATAATTGTTTGGTGAAATATGGGGATTTGTGACAACAAAGCGTCATAGAAGGGAAGAGGGGGTTAAAATCCAAAATTTATACTTATTTTATGAACGGCTCCCCAGAGTTTATGACGTAATCTAAGTTTCTTTCAAAGATACATTAGGGTACATGAATGCATGAAGATGCACGCATAAAAAAAAAGAATTTGAAGAAATTACCTTCTCCATAAAAAACCACCAGCGTGATTTCTGAAAGTAACGGTTTTAGGGTAATAGGTACCTAGTTGTGTAGATGCACAATGCACTGTATTAAAAAGGTGGATGCAGTTGAGCTCTTGCCACCCTTGCTAAGCGCCATGTTAAGGAGCAAGAATGTCAAAACACCCTAGGCGCCTTCAATTATCGGGTATGCAATTCATACAATCTCTAAGCGGGAAAAGTCGCATCCAGGTGCACCTAAGGATATTCTGTGGTGTTGAGTAGAGTCCCTTTAAACTAAGAGTTAAAAAACCCCTCCCCCTTCATGGAGTCACAAACGGGAATAAATATTACACAAATTATTGTAATTTTTCGTCGCATTTCTAAGGCGCAATGATACAACTATTTGAACTCTCCGGAATGCGTGAGGTATCACGCCGCATTTGAAGGCGTTTTCAAAACAGCAAAGTTCCGATATCCGGATAATCGTCTTTCATAGTTGGATTACATTTTGCAATAAGGAACCACTGTTTTTGGTCCATTTTAGAAACAACAAACGTGCCATTAGTTCCCCTGTATAGATGTCTGCTTTTATGGGAGAACCAGAGATAGTGGTTCCTTTTTGCAAAATGTAATCCAGTTCCAGTTTTTTTTTTCATTTCTAACCACTTGTTTGTTTATAAACCTCCTATAAAAATTACCCAATTGCTATATACAAATCTACCTGAAGCGCACTTAAGCTATGCATTCATGACTGCAAAAATATTACCGGAAATCGAAGAGGCCAGCATGCATGAAGGCAATTTCAATTGTAATCTCCCGTCGCATTTCTAAGGCGCAATGATACAACTATTTGAACTCTTCGGAATGCGTGAGGTATCACGCCGCGTTTGAAGGCGTTTTCAAAACAGCCAAGTTCCGATACCCGGATTATCGTTTTGCAAAGTTCCTATTATTATGTTTTATTTCCCGCCATTTGTTTGTTTTCAATCCTCCTATAAAAACTACTCATTTGCTGAATACACATCTGGCTGGAGCGTACTTAAGCTATGCTATCACGACTGCAAAAATGTCAAAGGAAATCGACAAGCCCAGCGTGTATGAAGGATATTTCAATTGTGATCTTCCGTTACATTCTTACGGCGCAATGATACAACTATTTGAACTCTCCGGAATGCGTGAGGTATCACGCCGCGTTTGAAGGCGTTTTCAAAACGCCCAAGTTCCGATACCCGGATTATCGTTTTGCATACTTCATATTCTTTTGTTGTATTCCGTACCACTTGTTTATTTTTAATCCTCGTACAAAAACCACCCATTTGTTAAATACAATATTAGCTGGAGCGCACTTCAGCTATGCATTCACGACTGCAAAATTGTCAACGGAAATCGACAAGGCCAGCGTGTATGAAGGCTATTTCAATTGAGGACCCCGCACCAAGAACAGTCTATAACTGGAAACCGCGTTTTGAGAAAAACGTATTTGAAGTTTTGTTTTTGATGTATTGCGCAGACTTTTCTATGCAGGTACTCTGTTTTGGTGTTTTTGGGTGACCTAACCCTTCTATTAAAGGATGCCGGGTAGATTTTGCGATACATTTTGGGTTTACACTCTAATATATTTAATTTAAAAAAACGATTTATAGGCCATTATTACGTCCAACAGTTATTTTGGTGGCAATATGAAGTATAAATCATTTTAATCACGCATGATTAACGCAAAATGAAAGAATATCGATAGTGAGTAAAGAAAGGGATAACTAGCACCTTAGGCCCTTAAGTTTATAGGCCTGTTTATAGGTCGTTCTTGCACCCATCGATCCAGAGGCCTGACTTAACTCGGAAAAAAAAGGTTTTTCGACCTCGAGCCGTTACCTATCTATATTCTATCGCTACCACAGCATAGTCCAGGGTAAGTAGAATCCGAAAAGCAGATGGGCGTAATAACGACCTATACGCCTATAGGCTGTTCTTGGTGCGGTGTCCTCAATTGTAAGTAATTAAGAGTTTTTCGTAATCTTTGATCGGCCAGTCTCAAATTCCTTTCTCCGTTCCTTCTCTCACTCCGTTTGTTCCTTGCTGAACCCGTAATTCCCCGGTTCATTCCAGATTTTAATCTTTGCAATTGGTGAAAATGTAATCTTTATTCCCATGTGTGACACAGTAGAGGCCTAAAATACGGGAACCAATCAGAAATGGATTCACATTGTCTTAACTCTCGGAATAAAGGGACTCCAGTGTTGAGTTATTTTTTAAGTGAGAGGTTTTTAATTTAAACGTTTTTATTCTTTTTTTGCAGTTTCGGTCACAGCTAGACGTTTTTCGTAAGAATAAGAGCCCCGACCCATGCCAGAAGATCGGCCTCTTCTCACCGCCGTGCAAGCGAAGATACGCCCAAGGATCGTGTGAATCTTTTGCCAAATCTTTCAACAAATTTCCGGAGGACATCAGATCAAAGACCCAATGTATGTACGTTAAATGCGCATCGTGTCTACCTATAGATGAACGTGGGTGTTATTCTAAGTTTTTCGCTAAGAAAAAGGCTTGCGCTTTTCAATGTATCCAGAACGCGGACGATACGAGTGACGGTCACATGGTGTGGCTTGATGATATTAACGTATAATACCAACGCCATGTTCAAGTTGACGCACATCGAAATGAAAAAAATGTGAGTTTTACGTGAGTAGGGAGGCACTTTCAGTGATGGCAAACGTCAAAATGACGCAGAAGTAGATTACCTACCTGCAATTACCTGATATTTTTTTTCGTGATCTAAGAGGGTTAACAACAGACGCAAGTCCTTCAACCAGAGGAACGAACGGTATTAACGTATGAAACTGCGTGGGATGCTTCTTCCATTGGATCGCATTTAGTAAAAAGGAACTGGCGCGATTACAGTGTTGTAAAAAGGCTGCTTCTTCATGGTTAGCTAAAAAAATCTCTCAGAATAGTTTCTTCTTCCCACCAAAAAAATGTCAATTTCAAGGGAGAATAATTGTGTAAATTTTAATACTGCACATAACGACGGTGTAAGTCGACAATCATATAACTCGTTTGCGGTGTCTGAGAATTTCGCCTCTATAATATTTCTTTAAAGGAGAACAAATTGACATAATTTCTTGAAGTTTTTGCAGAAACTCCACATAGAGAAGAAAAATCACGACAGTTTTAATGAATTGTCGTTGAGTGGTTTTCCGTTTAAAAAATAAAGTATGATAGGAAGTCTGCGACGTCGCAAACCTCGGTTTATGTGATTGCCGACTTACACTGTCGATATATTGATTATTTTTAAAAAGGAAGAAGAAGTTGGATGATTTTGAAGACACTGTAATCGCGCTAGTTCCTTTTTGCCAAATGCGATCCAATTGATCTAAGTGTTAAAAGTTGCAAGTAGCATATTTCATAGGGAAATTCTGATAGCCAGTCGATGCCAAAAAAGACGAGGCTAGTGCAAAAAATACTGCTTTTAGTCTTGAATAGTTTCAGCTGGGTGCTCGTTGAGAACACCTTCAGAAAATGATCTCATGAGTTTTCTTTTTTTTCATAATTTTAAGAGATGTGATTTTCATTTGAATTTACACAAAATTTCTTTCACTTGAAAGACATTTTATTTAAATAAAAAACACTTGTTTCTTTAATTCTCTATTTGTTATTTGATCTTTTTTGATTGGCCTAGCACATCTACAAATTATTTAAATTAAAAAGGACTAAAGGTCCGCTCCCTGGCCGCTACGCGGCCCAGCCCCTGGAATCCTGGATCAGACTGTTGCGCCGCTGCGCGCTGCAGACTTTTTTTCATAATTTATTTTCATGAAAAAATATTCTCCATGACGTCCCTTACATACTTCCCTAATTTTTTTCTGTGAGAAGAATATTCTGTAAAAATTTCACGCAATAGCGTCAGTTTGCTCTCCTTTGATAAAATAAAATGAGAGTGAGGATTTTGAAACACGCGGTCTTGCAGCTTCGCCGTCGAAGTATTGATAGACGCAGACCTCAAACAACCCCCTCCCCCCCCAAAAAAAAAAAAATATTAAAACTAATTAAATATGGATGGGTCTACATTAGGTACATTCTATTATCCATAGCAAATGTCTATTTTAAACAAATGAAGGAAGAAAAACTGTCTGAAAAGGAAGAAAAACCACTCGAGGTATGCTTTTCCTTAGTTTTGCTCTTAAAATAGAGATCAGCAGATTCTTGGCGACTGATGTGCTGGAAGGAAATGCTTACTCCTACTGTTTCACTACTCAACTTTAATTTTCCTGTCAGATGTTGCGCTTTTATTCGACGATCAAGACATGGTTTAATAAATTGTGGTCATAGTTTCACCACTCAACATGTTGCTCTGCATCTCAAGAGACGGTCAGATAATCGTTCCTGCCAATGAAAAAAGATGGAGATAAAAACACCCAACCATTCCCGTATAACAGGGGAGGGGGAGGGGATGGTCGCTTTCTTCATTCTTTTCTAGAAAGCAAACTTTCATGACATAATTAGGAAAGAATCATTACATTTCAGTCGTGTTTTTTATTTGACTTTGTCTTTTTAAGTTCGCTTTTGATACTTGATCGTGCAGTAAAGAGAACTTTGCGAACAATCATTTTTAGAATATAAACGGCCGAGACAAGAACAGCTAAACAAAAAGCAATCACGTCCAAAAGTATATATTTGTAAAATGGCAGGGTAACGGACGCTGGCTTCAGGTGATGTGCTCCTTTATGTCTAATGACGTACTCAACCCAATACACAGCCCTCTCCAAACTGGTTGCAGGCAAATCGCCATAAATTTTTGCCAGCCTCTTTGAATTTTCCGCATACCTGTGTAACAGAAAATAGAAGGCTTTAATAGATCTCTGCGAATCGGAGACTCGCTCTACAATAATAGAATCCTGATCGACACTAATCAAGACACACTTTTATATCAACCCCTGTGGACGAATTACAAAACAATATTATTAAATCCAGTTATTTCTGTTTCACGGATGTGCTGTTCAAAGGCATGGCGCGTTTTGCGATCTATCGATATTTCCCCGTTTGAGGGTGTGGTAGATAATCGATTATTAAGGGTGTTCGCACACGGAAAAAACAAGACTATAGTCCACGCCACGAAAAGTGGCGGCTGAGGGGCGGAGCCAGTCGGCCGGTCCAGTCTATTATTGAAGGGTTGAAGCGCAGATATTTGCCCGTGGTTGAGCGACGACCGGCCGGGGTGAGTTCACACTGAACCTTGAACCCGGCGCCCGGCGGCGTGGCATCCAGCGTCAATTGGGGAGAATACGCGGCGCGATGCGTCGCGCTGGATGCCACCCCGGGCGCCGAGATCAAGGTGCGCTCAGTGTGTACTCACCCCGGCCGGCCGTCGCTCGACGCGTGTCTGGGGTAATGACTGGGCCTATACCTGCGCTTCAACACCTCAACAATAGGACTGGACCGGCCGACTGGCTCCGCCCCTCAGCCGCCACTTTTCGTGGCGTGGACTATAGTGTTGAGCACTACTGGCCGTTTAGTGGGGAGTAGTTGAGGGCTGGCGTCTAAGCGCTGTACAGCTCAACACCGGAAGGCAGTACAGGTGGGCACTGAACATGAGTAGTGCTAATCACATGCCGCGAGACGTAGTTGCGCTTAACAGGTGTAAATTCACCCATGAGACGTCGGAGTCACCATAGCCTGGTGGTAACGCGCTGGTCTTCCACCGGCGCAATCCGAGTGCGGTCCCAGGCGGAGGCGTTTCATATTTTACGCTCGCTCCAAAGTCACTTTAGGGCTTGACACTACTTCTTCCTTAGTGACCCAGCCTCGAGCTGTTTAGTGCCCAGCACTACTCTGACTTGGTGGCTCCATTTGACCTAACCCTCGTTAGTGTCCAGCACTAACATGTAGGTCCCAACCCTAAGCTCGTTTTTTCCGTGCAGGCAAACACCCTGCTTATCGATACTTTTCCACAGGTTTAAATGGTCGATCAATCGATATATCGCAAAGCACGCCACGCCACTGGTGCTGTTGCGTCATTGCAAAACATGAAGGCGCGCGGAAACGCGGGACGCGTGTCGTGATATTGGTAAAATGGACTACATTTTGCAATTTGGACCTATAGATTCTAGCCCGGTTTAAAAACAACGCATGTGCCATTAGTTTCCCTATGCACATAAGTGTTTTTCCAGAGGAGCCAGCATTTATAGTTCCAAATTGAAAAATGCAGTCCAAATCTGCCTGAGTGTCTTACACAGGAAGTTTCTAAACAGTCTGCATAGAGAAAAAGAGGAGGTGTTTGCATTTCGGAAATCTTGGATTTTTTTGATGACATAGGTCGGTACGGACGATTTTCATCATCGATTTTCTTTGTACATCACGGGGTAAACAATCCTCAAGATACAAACACCTCCTTTCTTTTCTCTATGAATGGTCTGTGCTGCTCTCCGATCGGACCACCAGTTAACAGCTTTCGATGGGACCCGCCTAATGCAGACAAACCCGAATCGGAGGAATTCGCGTTATTTCTAACGGGAAATGAATGATATCTACAAGAAAAGTTCTTTTCTCAAAAAAATCCATGAAAACTTCTTCAGAATTTATTTCACAAGTTGAAAAATGAAAGTTGAAAAATTCTTATCACGCCTGGGAGTGGGAGTTTTGCCATTTTGCTTCTTTGCATTGAGGCCTGTATGCAGGAGCCTATAACTTGTCGACCAATCAGAGAGGATTACAGTTTTTGCTCCATTTTCGCAGCAGGTAATGCGTCAGCAGTGATCCTAAGCCTGCGAATACATCCGTGCCGCGCGGACCTTCTCTAAACTACCGTGCTGAAGAAAAACGCCGTATGAACATTCGAGAGTTGCCAAATGTCCTTCGTCAAAATTTTCGTCTTTGAGAAATGTCGTGAACAATTTTCCTTAAAATTTTTAGGAACTTGAGGTGAACTGGCGAACAAAATATTCAATACATTTGAAAAAAAGGTATTCATAAATTTAGCAGGAAATTCGTGTTTTACCATGGGAAATTTCGCAACGCCTGAAGGCTCATACGGCGTTTTTCCTCAGCACGGCAGTATACCGAAACGGACCGCGTGTGGACCAGTGTTCCCGGGTGCTCCGTGTGCGAGATCCGTACGCTCTACCGCTCTCCGTGCTGCTATTGGCTGAGCGTCATTCTGTGACGTCACGCGTACGGATATTTTAAGATAGGGAAGCGTTTTTCCCATAAGGTTTTTGTCCGTACGCGGTCCGTGTCGGTATAGGGAATGTCCGCGCGGCACGGATAAATCCGTACGCCTGGCATCACTGGTGTGGACTAAAACCTCGTGGGAAAACGCTTCCCCATCTTAACTTGGCCAAACGCGTGACGCCACAGAATCACGAAGCAGCCAATAGCAGCACGGAGAACGGCACCCGGGAACACAGTGCGTCAGTTGCACCGGTCGCACTACCGCTCATGATGAGCAAAATTTAAATGTCAGCTAAAAATAAAACGATCCGTCTAACGAACCAAGTTTTTTTGCTGGAAAAGATTTCAAAAAACGTAGTGATTAACGTCATACGGTAGTGTATCTCACGGTTTCATTCACCTTCATTGTATCAATGATGTAAATGAACGGATCAGTCAGTCACAATGTACTCATCAACGTGGAAGAAACCGTGCGATGCATGGCGGTGATGGATGTTCTACAACTCTGCCGTGCTAAGGAAGAACGCCGTATGAACATACAAGAGTTGCCAAATTTCCCGCGATAAAAAATGCACTTTTGACATCATTAATACATATTTTTCCTTAAAATTTTCAGATATATTAGATGAAATTGCGTACAAAATTGTCTAAAAATTCTAGAAAATAATATTCACAATTTTCCCAGTGAATTCGGTTTTTATCGGAGGAAATTTGGCAACGTTTGAAGGCTTATACGGTGTTCTTCCTTAGCACGACATTACTAGTGACGATTTCTCAATCAAAATTGTACCCAGAAAGGTGGTCGTTATGATCTCATTTATTTTCCTCTGATTTGCACGCAGCAATTATTTTCATTATACAATTCTACGACGTGCAAAATCGAACTATTACGAAGAAAATCATATGATTTTGTAGAAAAAGCATTAAAGAACGCAAGCCTGTAAACCACGGGAAATCGATCCTTCGATGTCGTCGATTTAGTAACAGATGAGTATTTTTTGAAGTCTTCTGCAGTATCGACATAGGAATAATTTTGCTGCATCCTACGAGAAATAACCCAATCCATTACTTAAAAATTTCCTACAGTCATTTAAATGCTCTGGAGGTGTAATTAAGATGACAACCGCAACTATCGTACGAGATCCAATGCTTATCGAATCCAATTTCATTTAGTGTTATGAAGTTACCACCAAATATGTCCTGTTATAGCATATTAACCCTCCCTGTCGACGGAATATTAAAATATCGCTCGGAGGTTTTCTCCAGTAAAAATAGTTGACGATCACGATCAGGGCTTGTAATCCACTCTTGTGTTGACAAAGATATTTTCTGGATTCTTTGGGAAGAGACGATGCAATTTTAAAGGATTGAAATTTTTTGGAAATGATGGAATAATTAATGGAATATTAGGATAATTTTTGTTAGAGGGGGGTAAGAAAATTATATGAAATCACCGATTCAATTTTATTTTGCGAGTTGCGTCAGTCTTGCGGTCCTTGTAGTTCGTACCATGGCAAGAGAGAAGTCATGTGCTTGTGCATGGCTAAAATGTGAAATCACGTATCTCTACTGCGGTGTTTGTAAATATGTTTTTCCCATCTTTTTAATCGCAACTTTTTTTTAAGAGAAACGAGTCAACTACATTGCTAGAAATCCGACGGAATATTCTGCTCATAGAGAAATAAAAGGGAGGTTTTCAAGAAAGTCAGTCGACCAGTTTTCCAACAAACAAATGAATCACGACACGAATAAGTCTGCTACGCTCTACGTAGCAAATTTTGAGACACCTGTTGTCGCACTTTAACCATCGGTATTGGTCTGCTCAGCGCGTTGGGCTGCCGCGGACGTAAGAGAAGCTATCGCGCCTTCAATTTTCATGTACGCAACACAGGTAGCCGTTGGACACGAATAGTTGCATCGCAGGTCCAGTGATGGTTACTGGATTGAGTCATTATCGGATTGAAATTGTTGAAATGAATGCAGCCGCGATGTGGAGGAACACAGTGTATGAACCGTGAAACTTTGCAAATGAAATGTGCAAGTCCTAAAAAACTCGTAGACCTGGAATATTTCAAAAAAATTGTCTGCGATTCATTCTATCATGACTAAAAATTTTAAGGAGCAATATGAATAATTTCAAAAATGAATATTTTATCGAGTGGAATTTGACAACATTCAAGTACTCATACGGCGTTTTTCCTTAGCACGATACCCCCCCCCCCCCCCCCCTCCCCGTTACAGCAACCTCGTGGTTTTGCACTTTGATCTGTTGATAATCAAAAACAGTTGCTTACTATCAGCTTACACTTAATTTTACAATTTTTGTGGGTATTCAAGATGATATACAAGGACAATCTTATTTCGAAGTGTTTCTGTTGGATATTTGTTTTTGTCGGCTCGCAATCAGTTATTTACTCATACGAGAAAAGTCATGCCATGTATGAACTTATCCTGAATCTCAAGAGCGTAGCTAGAGATTTCAATAGGTTCAGATTTAAAACAAGCTCTTAATGGCTTAAGTACACTTTGAAATCTAATTGATACGCAATACAGTAGACCACTAGACAAGGTCTGAAGAAGAAAACGTCACACGTTTTCTCTTCGAAATCTCACACAGAAAACAGTTCACACAATAGGACGTTTTGAAATCAACTCCTGAGCGAGCTATATTATATTAACAAGTCTTTTAAACACAGATCAAATGGAAATTCGATTATGCAAATGCATCGCAAAAAGATCGGGATTTTATCGACGGCAATTTTTCGGCAATTTTTTTTTATTATCGTGCAGAAAATCGTGTTAAATTGAGATAAATTTCGATTTTATCGATTTTATCGAATGCGATTTTATAGAGCCATTATTCTTTCATTCTTAATTTTTGGGCACAGTGTGGACCAAAATTCGTGAGAAAGGCGATCCCCACCATTTGCTAGTACTGAGCTTATTCATAACCTTAGGAGTAGGTATCAAAATCTGAAAATAAAGGGGATTCCAGGATATTTCAGAGGGTCTTAGAACTTCCAGGTTAAATTTATTTTTATTTTTTTGGCCAAGTAAACGCAACTTCCTCTCTTAAAAACTGTGCCCCAGAGAAGAGAAATGCTAATCACAATTACACGAGTAATTTACGCCTGATGCAACGGTGCCCTGAAAATATCACTTTCATCGACCGAAAAATCAAGTTTTTCACCCTAAAGAATCAAAAGACCGTACTCTCCTGAAATCCGCCTTTGACTTGAATTTCGAAATTAGATTGCTGGATACATCGCTCATCAACCATGACCAAGCAAAAAAATAAAATTGATTCTCGAATCTTCAATACCAAATTTACAGTGTGAGAGGCCCACAACACGATCTGCGGGGTGTTCCTCTGCGTTAGCATGCATGAATACCGCCTTGCCAAGGAAGAAAGTCGTATGAACCTTCAGGCGTTGCCAAATTTCCTTTAATAAAACTCGAATTTCCCAGTAACTTATGGATATCTTGTTTCCAGTTTATTAGATAATTTTGCTCGCAATTCCACCGAAAAGTCCTGAAAAATTCAAGGGGAAATTCTCATAACTTCCTTTGCAAATGAACATTTTATCGAAGGGAATTTGGCAACGCTCGTATGTTCATACGTTGTTCTTCCCTAGCATGGCAGCGTGACTGCATGAATAAAAAAGAGGTAAAAATCACGAAAATAACGGAATCATGAAATGCCTGGTAACGTGACGGGAACGTGGCTGACGATTCCTTGAGTGTTTTAATGATGCTTAATTTCCACTTCTGAACCAAGAGCAAGTGTGTCATTATATTTTCTGTCATACGGGTAGTTAGGTCGTATCCAAAGTAATCGTGAAATTTCAAGAGCTTGTAAGTCGAGACTATGTGCGTAGAGCTCCTCAGTAGCCGATTTAAAAACGGAATATCGACGGTGAAACTACCAAACCACGTATCTCGTTTGCGGTGTTTAAAAATCTACGCTCGCATTTTATTTTTTTGAAGTAGACCAAATCAATATCATTCCTTAAAATTTTCATAGAATTTTCTCCGTACGATGAGGAAAAATCACAAAAATTTTCAAGACAGGACGTTAAGTAGTTTTTTATTTAAAAAATAAAGTATGACAGGAAGTCTGCGACGTTCCAAACCGAGATACGTGGTTTGGTAGTTTCACCGTCGATATGCTTTAAAAGCGGTGTTAAAAACTGATGGCTGAGATTCAATCACTGTACTTACGAGGGTGTGTGCACTAGTGCGCACCACACTCAACAAGTTAAAAATACTCGTGTTTGATGTTAAGTATTATTCAACCTGGATTTTTCAGACCTCGACGTTGCGACTCATGCAGAAAAATTTCCGTCTGGATCGGAGCGTTCAATAAGGATATCCACACTGAATTATCCTAGGAACACTTGGCATTTATTGCCTTTAAACAACTGCTTGGTCATGATATCGTGCACCCGTCGATCTATAACTGGAATGTATTACCTTTTTTTGGTGTTAAAGAGATTCAATCACTGTACTTACGAGGGTGTGTACACGATTTTGTTGATTATCTCGGTAAACTTTTCAAAGGTGAGATCGTCAATGGAGGCGCCTTGTCCGACTCCAACGTGTTCGTAGTAAGCCACATTGTGAAACTGGTCGGCGAACATAGGTAGCCCGAGGACTGGCACTCCAGCACTCATCACTTCCACCAAACTGTTGAAACCTCCATGTGTGATGAATAATTTACAGTTCGGATGCGCTGAAATGTGTAAATTACTTAGCTTAGCATCGGCTGTCATGTTTTGCGTAACATTCTGATGAGGAACAAGTGTCGTGAAGATTTCCGTTTATCCTATCAAGGGCCAATTCAGGTACAATAAGGTTCAGATATCGACAGTGAAAGTACTAAACTATTTAAATCGATGGGTATACTTAAAAATTTCCGCGTCTATTTTATTAAGAGGAAATTTTGAGTCATTTTCTACGCAACTTTTAAGTCAATATTCTACACCGAAAAAAATGAAGGTGCTACACTAACATTGTTAAAGTTAGTTACAAACTAGAAGGCCATGCCCCCTGGCCGCTACGCGGCCCAACCTCCAGAGGGCGCTTCGCGTTCTCTTAGGCCCGCTCCGACAAAAGAACGACCAGAAAAATGAAATTATTTGCAAAAGTCCGAAATGTACGAAGTGAACGAATATGTCAGATAAGATGAATTAGAACTGATATTTCTTTAAATCAATTGACCGGACCAGTCTCAATTCTGATTTTAATGATGATTGGAGTAGATTCGAAGGAATTCTTGGTGGGAGTTTTGCCTCGATTCTTGTTAAAGGCTACTACTATTTTTTGTGACCGTCCACCCAGGAAAAAGGATTTTAGTCCGAGGAGGGACGATTTTAAACAAAACGATTTTTGCCGAATTGGGTCAAAACAACAAATTTTGACATTCGGATGAACTCTTGTTTGTGTACGATTCGAGCATCAAGTTCATTTTTAGTTACTTGTGCCGGTAGAAGCCGTAAAGTTCCATCATAATCCTCAAATCGTGAATTAATATTTTGAATTGCTATGCGTCTCTTCCAATACCACGTGCTTTTACTACAACTTTAAACAACCTGAATCTCTCTGGTTTGGTTCAACAGGCTTGGGCGTCTTTTATTCGAAAATGTTAGTTGAATACTCCTTTGTGTTCTGGTGTCATTAACTCAATTTTGAAGATCGTGGACTTAAGTCCCTCCTCCTAAAAAAGGTCATATGCAGATTCAAAGTATTAAATTAAATTGTAACATTCTTACCAAGGATTGCATCTTGAGGCAACCAGGAGTGTTGGAAAATGTTTTTCGGATCTCCTTCAACTTTCACTGGCCATTTTAAAACCACTCTTTGCTTCACATTTTTCAATGTCTCAATGAACATCCTCCTTACGTGATCGGGAAACAAAGTTGGATCCAAATGTGACCCGAGACTGAAGTAAATTACCCCTTCTGGCGCTTCATCCATGAATTTTTTCAGATCCTGAAAAATTAAGGATTCTATTTTCATATTAATTTTTTGTATAGATATTTTTAATGGTGAGCAGTATAATCGAAACCTCTGGTTGATTAAGAAAGTCAGGTACCATTTTGAAAAGATTGCAATTTTAGTGATAATCAACTCTGTCTTAATCTCCGAAACTTCACGAAAAAAAAAATCGATAGTCTTAAGCTCCAAACTCAGAGCTGTCCTTCTCAAAACTATAATTGACTATTCACTTTTATTCACAGGCCATCAACACACAACGCAATATAACAAATTGGAAAAACACCGCTCAATGCAAGAATACAGGAATACTACCCAAAAAAATTTAATTGAGAGGCTTGGAAGACAAGGCGCATAAGTGCAGTTTTAGACATTCGAAACTAGAGATTATAGCCCAGTCGCCTCAGCTGCGTGCCATAGCTCGTTTTATGCGGGTATTTCAACATATGAGCTACAAGGAAACGACGGTACCTCACCTGAAGCACACCAGACAAAAGCAGGAAGGAAAGGCGAAGAAGAAACAGAAATCCGGGCTATTTCACGTTTTTCCATGTTGAAAAAGGCAGGACGGAAATAAAAGTAAAGTCGTGTGCTCAGAAGTATGTCTTTGATCAAAACTGAGGTAAGCGTGTTTTTTGGTAGTTGAAAGGAATGTCTATCAGAATACCAGGCGATTTATTCTGGGAGTCATTTGACGCGGAGAAAACAGCGAATGGGGTAGGTGCATTGTTCGTTTTGAGGGGACGCGGGATAAGTGAGACCTACCTTCACTTTAAGTCCAACCGTTGGCCTCAATTTGGCTTAACTGAGCTGAAAATTTCAGAAGATTTTCATGAAGGTGTGAGAAAAGCACTTGTAAATTTTGAAGGTATTCGGAGCACTTTATAGGTCCGAGTAAAATCCAGAACTTTGTACTCGTTTTTTTCGAAATAATAAAAACTCCACTTATGCGCCGTCTTCCAAGCACCTCAATTAAAGTTTCATTTGTTACTGAGTATTATTCAGCCAGAAAAAATGTATCTGAAAGCAACAGTGAGATTTGTGAAATAAAAAGATACGAAGCAAAAAATTTATAGAAATTATATGAAAATTCACAAGTATTTTTTTTTCATATTTTTTCTATCTTCATTCGTATTTTTTGTTTTCAAGTGTGACAGCTCAGTTTTTTTCTCACATACCTTATTCTAGCCGCGCAATACTGAGCTCTTAATCAAATCATATCAGGAGAATCGTATCGTTGAGCATATTGTGTGCAGCGATGATAATTACTTTCGAACATCCCGGTATCCTTCATTAGTATATTTTTCCTGACTTATTCGTAAGCGGGATTTTTCCCTGGGACAAATCGAGTGAAACGGCCCGTGCTGACGAGGCCTTACCTTGTCGACAAAGCCAGTTAAAGTTTCAACGATCAGGCTGCAGGGCACAAATGGTTAAGCACATTTGGACCGCGTCAAGCAGAAAAGAACCAAGCCATATCAGCAATTTAATCTTTTGCATGAAAACGGTTATGCGGATTTTAATGCAAATTTCAGTAAATTTTCTGCATGTTACGAGACAACTTCCTTGAAATTTTCAAAGAAATGCGCACAAACATTCTCCTGTAAAAAAGGAAATTGCTCCGTCCAATTTGGAAATAGCTGATGTGGTTTGGTTCCTTTCTGCTACAACCCTGGTAAAAATTGGCAGTGGTATCTGTGTTCCAAAATACCATAGACCTTAAGCCGGCTGTAAGATTTCCAATAGCTTCTGTAGCCGGCTGTATAATTTCTTATAGCCTTTTACAGCCGATGGCGATTAAGCAACAGCCAGACGATAAAGTTAATGCTAAACGTTACTAAATACAGATACTAGGACTTCGTTAGTTTTTGGACTGCCGATCTCTTTCTGTGCCGTAGTATCTTGATTTATTTTGCGAGGAAAGCTCCGTACTTTTGGAGGATGCCTGTCATTCTTAATATGTTGGAGCGCCTTCAATTTCTCATGATACTGTGCAATACCTCTGGTGTGAAATAGTTGCTTCAGACGCCATGGCACGCTGCGGCGCACGGTGGAGCGAAGCATAGGAATGCCCGGTCATCGCCTTGCTCCCCAACTTGTTTCGACTATTCCACTCGTTCCGATGGGCACTTCGTGATGAAACTTTGGCATTTTCGGTATTTCGATCGTAGAACTCATTTTTGACCTTTCTTTACCTACTTGATTTATTGACAGAAATACATAATTTTGGAGGTTCTTTCTAACTTTCAGTAGAAACGTGAAAAGATAAGTTACTCAAAGATAAATTTTACTCGTTTCTGTGGGCATTTCGTGTTGAAAATTTACAAGCTAGTGGTATTTTTATCGTAGAATTTATTTCAGACCTTACTTTCCTTGATAAGTTAACGCAAACGCACGATTTTCGGGGGTTTTCAAACTTCCGGCGGAAACATAAAAAGATAAGTTGCTCAAAGATAAATTTTACTCGTTCTTATCGGCATGTCGTGTTGAAACTTGGTGCAATCCTGGTATTTTGAACGTAGAATCCATTTTTGACATTAAAATTGCCTGTATGTCAACGTAATTACACCACCTTGGATTTTTTTTTAACTTCTGGTAGAAATGTGAAAAGAAAAGTTACTCGAAGATAGAATTAACTCGTTCTGGTAAAAAAGACGTGTTAAATCGTTGATGCACGATCATACTTTCATCTTAGAACCAATTTTTGAGCTTACTTTTGTTATTTTCTTCACATGCATATGTGATTTTGAGGGATTTTATTCTAAAATCGATCGGAATGCACAAAAAAAATTTACGTGGAGATTTTATCCGTTCCGATTGACATTTCATGTTATACGACTAATGATTTCCTGTGATATTTTCATTGAGTAATAAAAATTTGATGTGACTTATACTTCAATTGCTCGATCAAAAGACAAAAGGAAGGAATTTTTATCGATACTGTGTGCTTTTTCAGTGTGATGAATGCTCATATTTCTATCCATTATGAAAAAAATATGGTATTACCGTTACCTTCTGAGACCAATGAAAAATTCCAGTTTTATATGATTCCAAGAAACAATTTCGAGCCGATGATTTAAAATATTTATAGAAAGATATATCTATGTACAAGGATTTTTTTTAAAGCTTAAGACACTGTACACAATTTCAAGTTTATACATAGCCAATGCAGGGCATAAACCTATAAATTTCGACATCATCGCTATCAACATCGCGATCAACACTGTCAACGAGATTAAATTGCACGGTAAATCGGTTCATCTCATATCACGAATCATGATATCTCAGAACCAGTCGGGACACTTCTAACGCTTTGTATAGGATTTTATCCATACCACGCCTAAAGAGCCAAGCGCTTCGGGAGGTTGGGCTGTGAAGTGGTCAGGGGGTGAAACCCCTATTATGATGAATTATTCATTCAAAGGTATTGATAGAGCATTCAGAATTTTTATTTTCTCCTTAAAATGCCAAACAGTCATATAAGATAAAAATAAAAACAGCTCTGTTTCTCCGCCTCGATCGCGAGTTCACGAACCTCTCAAATGATGAATTTTGGCCAAAAAATCGGCAAAAGTAAAGTCAAAATTGAATTTTACGATGAAAATACTGTAAGTGCATCAAGTTTCAAAATGAAAATCCGACTGAGTGCATTAGGACGCCAAGATAATCCAGCAAGATGTAGGGAAACAGCGAATTCCGTCCTCACTTTTTCGGACAAAAATCGATGTAACTCTCAAAGTGGCAGCTGTTAGCAGCCAAATACGACGGATTCCTCACCCTGAGAGATCATTGGAACACGCCTTATGCATGATTGGACGGCGAAATGCGGCGAAATTTTAATAGTCTATTCAAACTTTTATTTTCATATGTTTGGAAGGGTCATCTTTGATTAGACATTACAACGTAAAGAATTGAGTAAATTTAACTTTTTAATAGTGAAATATGTTCTTCATACACTCTAGAATAAGATCCAAGTATTCATATTCGTATCAATTATTGCCACTCGAAGAGGTAGGTATAGAAACCGACCTTAGAAAACAGAGCAAAATTGGCCGTTACAGAAAATGCCAACTTCAGGAGTCCAGGGAGCAAAAGCATTTGAAAAAATCATAAAACCAACACTAGATTCATGTAATATGGATCCTTGGGAACACATTTCATCAAATCTTTATGCAAAACATGAGAACACTCCATGTCCGAGGTTTTACCCATTTCGTCCTACTGTGCGGCGCGGCGAGCAGAGAGCGCGAAACGCGCATTGGCGCCTACAAACCCAACGGGGATACTTCACGCATTGCGCAATGCGTGAAGTATCCCTGTTAGGTTTGTAGGCGCCAGTGCGTCGCCGCTCCGCTTTGTGTTAGGCTCTAATATTTAATCTCGCGGAGTCAGCATTTTTCAACTCATGATTTTGCAATGTTTACACACTCTGTATGGATTATTCTCATTTTAATTGATGAAAAAAAAAATATGTTTTAAAGGAAAATATAATGTGTGTTTTGTAAATATTAAGGTAGTTCCACAAAATTTCTTATAGCCTTTTATAGCCAATGGCGATAAAGTGTAAAGCCCGGCGATAGGAACTGCAGCTTGACTGTATACTTTTTTATAGCTTCAAATAGCCCGGCTATATGATTTGCTCCGCTTTCTACAGCCAGCTATATGATTTTCAATAGCCTTCTTTTGTCGGCTATAAGAACTCCTATGGTATTTTGAAACGCAGCTCCTATCGCCAATTTTTACCAGGGAAGTGGTCCATTTGCTTAACTCCATTACATTCTATTTTTTCTATTATTTCACGATAACTGGAATAGTTCTGTGGCCGTAACAGACAATACATTTTTCGGTCATATTTTTAGCAGTAATGAGAATTACTCAAATTTTTTTGCATTAATCTACACAGGGTCACGCGTTATAACGCTTTTCAACGATTTATCGCTCTACTTTTCAATTTTAATAAATGGCTGAAAATGTGCTGTCTGTTACGCTGACTTTTTACCGCGTAACAGACAGCACATTCTCAGAATTTACATAATATTAATTGAGAAGTAGAGCAATAAATCATTAGAAAGCGTTATAATACGTAACCTTTTGAAGATTAATGCGAAAAAATTGGAGTGATTTTCATTACTACTAAAAATATGCACTGGAAAAAAAACACATTGGATCTAGAGTCCAGACTCTTGAAAACATTGACAAGAAAAAATACTCTCGATTCAATCGGAATCTTGCTTGAATCAAAAGGAAATCCGCTTAAATTAAGAGGCTTGGTTCTTGATTTAAGCTAGATTTTGATTGAATAAAAAAAAATTGATTGATTTTGATTTTGATTGTTTTGATTTTGATTTTGATTTTGTTTTTCCTGTCGATGTTTTTAAGAGTCTGGACTCTAGATCCAATGTGTTTTTTTTCCAGTGTGAGCGAAAAATGTGTTGTCTGTTCCGGCGAGAAAACGCCAGTTATCGTGAAACCAGCCATGTGCGTACCTGGGGTAACTGGGTCGTTGGTTTGGTGTCCATGCCGGCAACTTCGACGATATTCGGAGCGTACGGTCGAACATACATCATCGGATGGGAGTCGACGAGATGGAGTGAGATATTAGTGATGAGGTCCTTGACTGAAGGCAAGGCCTCCGATCCAGGGTAGTTGAAGTACTTGCGCATCAACCCCTCGTGCCTCGGTAGGAGATACAGGTGTCCGCCGAGAAGGTCGAAAATGGCCATCATGGTGTTGTGCACACGTTGCCAGAAGCTCAACTTGACCGTGTAGGGAAGCCTAAAATCGGGGACGTAAGAGAGTGGGTTGGGGTTGCCCGTCAAGGAGGCGAAGAGGGGTGACATGAAGAGAGGGTGGAGGTTGATGACGGGGGCCCCGAACTTGTGGCCGAATGCGAGGAAGGACTCCTGTTGCATTGTCGCCTCCATGATGATCAGCTCAAAATACTCGCGGGACCTGATGAGCTCTTGGAAGGCCGAGCTTTGGAGGGTGCCCTCCGTTACAGTAGAGAATTCTGACCACAGCCGCCAGGTGTAGCCAAATCCCGTCCTTTTTCTGGCGGCCACAAAATCGAAATCTGTAAAGTATTAATGCAACTCAGAATCATTCCTTTCCGAGCTCAGATTCACCAGTATAGTTTACAAAGAGGGTGATGTGAAGAATACAATACATAATGTATTCTTGGCATGACGCCAAGATTTGCGACCCAAATATAGAATCCTACGTGAAATTTCACGATAAATCAAAGGGTACCTAATTCCATTCTACGACTGCGCGACCCCATTGATTCTAATGTGAATCATTTTTTTTGAAACTCCGAATATATAATTACATCGACGGTGAAACCACCAGACCACGTATCTCGGTTTGCAACGTCGTAGACTTCCTGTCATACTTTATTTTTTATTTGAAAAACCACTCAACGTCAATTCTTGAAAACTTCAACTGCAAGGAGTGATATCGGTTTGTTTTCCTTTACAAAAGTAAAATGGGAGCAGAGATTCTTAAACACCGCAAATGAGATACGTGGTCTAGTAGTTTCACCGTCGATATATAAACTGAACCATATAAACTGAAATATATACATCGGCTATATCAAACTTTCCACGCATATGGAACCATTATTAAAGATTTTCATAATGCTATTGACACGATTTTTCCGATCATGTGAATTAGGTATATACCTTTCGACTGTGGAGTACTGATATGGTGTCACTAGTTTTCACTGGAACGAAATCTCGAGCTCAGAAAAAGTTCTCATAGTGGACGCTGTAACGGAAGGAATCCTCTAATTATGAAGAAGACTGTATTTCTGTATCTAGTCAAATTCTCCAGTTCTTGCACAGATAGGGAGCAAATACACTAGGGTACACACAACTGCACATAGCAGCACAGGCTTGCCGCTTTGTGGAGGTGCAGGGACTCCTCAGCTGCAGCCATTAGGAAACCCTTGCTTATGGATTTGCTATACTTATCGGACCATGAAGAGTTTAACTTACTATGGAGGTGGATTCGTTCATAACATACTATATCGACGGTGAAACTACCAAACCACGTATCTCGTTTGCGGTGTTTAAAAATCTACGCTCACATTTTATTTTTTTGAAGTAGACCAAATTAATATCATTTCTTGAAATTTTCACGGAATTTTCTCCGCATAAAGAGGAAAAATTACAGACATTTTCAAGACTGGATGTTGAGTAGTTTTTCATTTAAAAAATAAAGTATGACAGGAAGTCTGCGACGTCGCAAACCGAGATACGTGGTTTGGTAGTTTCACCGTCGATATTCCTTCCAACACGGCCTTCATTTGGAGAGCTTCTTGTCAGATCAGAGCTCATTTTCCTCAAAGTTTCACATTAAGACCCAGGTTTTCATTGCCGCAAAGCGACCCCCTAAATACGCGAAGCTCTCAAGAGGGGTCGGCCTTGCGTGGCATGAAATGATTTTTTATCTAGTATTCTAATTTCATGTAATGTAATACCATTAGTAGAAAGGAGGAAAATAAAATAGAACCTTGGATTGAAGATGAGTTTTGAGGCCTGTGGACCACAATTTCCCTGTAATTTGGCAATGGCTGCTTTCGTTTGAAGACCGGAGCTACGTACGCTGTGACTTCGTGACCTCTCATTGCTAGTTGCTCCACGACAGGAGAAAACACCTTATAATGACTTGTAAACTCGTGCGGAAATAAAAACAAAATTCTGGCTGGTGTCACCAAGTTCACGGTGGCCAAAAGAGAGAATCCGCAAATGAAGTATTTCACTGAATTCATTTTGCCAACTGCACATGCCAAGGGAACGTTGATCAGAAATGAAAAGTCTTGTAATGCCACGTAGTTCTTTTTTAACTTGAAAGAAAATATTCAATGCTGACGTCTTTTAAATTCTATCAGTCATTTTGATTCGAAAATGATCATCTTCGCACTTATTAATAATTGTCTTAAAGGGTCAATTATGTCATTTTATCAGGGGTAAAAATTAATTTTAGCACGAAGGCATCAATCAAATAAACTTTGTGTAGGAACGTACTTGGCTATTTTAGGACATGAACGGGGGAAGGGGGGCTTTCGACACACGCAAACTTCACAGGGTTATGAATTTGCTGGGTGAGATCAGTATAAAATTCTGAACTCTTTTAGTGATAACAGAAATTTAAACGTACTCAGAAAAAATTACATTTCCTTCCCTCTTTTAACTTCGAGCTGTTTATAAGAAACGCTATGCAAAATTAAAGAAATGTTGAACATTTGAACATCAATTGAAGTGTTGAACTTCAATGGTGTCTCACAGTTATAACTAAATTAGTTTTCAAATGAAAATAAAAGCACTCTCACTATCTACAAAACCTTGTTTGAAAGTCAGTCGCTTTATCATTTACGAATTATGTCACGCACCGTATAAATAATCGAGATGTACATAAAAAATTCAAGAGGTTCATGGTGTGATCACTGTGGTCCCGAACAGACGTGTTTCTTAGGTAATTCGGTGAGCACTAATATCGCTTAAAGATATCAAAAGGTTCGCATTTATCTAAAGCCGACGCCTGGCCATGATTATATGCCGCTCGCTTGAGATAAAAATGAAGAAGAAGAATAGAGAAGAAAAGTACTTCTTAATAGAAAATTCCCATTCATAATTCCAAAACGTTGAAGAGCAAGGTTGGTGCACTCGATGGAAACTGCAATGAGTTCTACCCGCTCTGAGCATTTATATTAACCGTTGAAATGTTATATTATAAAATTTAATATCTAGGATAACTGCCCAACGGACTGTGCAACGGAAATATTGGAAATATGTAAACTGCAATTTGATTTCAATGAAATTGTAATTTTTTCCCCATTAAATTGCAATATTTTTACATTATTTGTAGATTTATGCCCATCTTAAACAATGAGCAAAATGAGCTTCATGTGTCAGAAAGATAGGCAATATGCGATGCAATAAAAAATTGCAACTTATTTAAATTTTATAGCAATAAGTTTCAATAAATGGGGCCCCTTCAAATAGGAACTAGGCAACATACACAACACTCAGTGGAATTGCAATATGTTTACTTAGTCCAGTACCAATAGATCTAAAAGGGGGGGGGGTATGAATGCAAGAAAGAGGTCAGAAGAGGTTAAAGCTGATTCTTACGTATTTTTGGTCGCTGAATCCTAATTTGATGCTTCCCACCAAATCCGCCATGTGCGTTTTCCGGAAAAGCCGGAAAACTGCCGAAAATCACGTTTTTACGCGCTTTTCCGGGAATAAATAGCTTAATATTCGTCGGAGCGTAAAATTAGTTATCAGCAAAGGTGTAGCCTAGTACATTTACCGTCATTTAATCGTCACATTTCGGGCTATTTCATCGTTGTTATTGCGTTCCCTCTATTTGTATATCGCTGCTGATTGTCTGTAAGCGAGCAATTTCACTCTATAACGAAAGTAATCTTCCTTCAGCCAAAATTGGACGCATTTGAATCAAAAGAAACTACATCCGTTGGGACATAAGCCTTGCCAACCATGCATTCGTATGGATCTTTGGGATTATGTCAGAAAGGATATGGTTCCTTTTAATATAAAGACGTTCAATTCAATGTGCTTCCTAATTACTTGTTTTTTTTTTGCTTTTTTTTTTTAACACTGAGGACAGGTGAATTGCCTGCGTGTGAAACTAGAAAAAGCTGTTTTCCATCTTATTATTTCGCTTCAATGAAAGTAACGTGTTACCTAATATCTCAGAAAGCTATTTCGCGACTTACAATTACTTCCTGCCATTTGCTGGTTTATCCTCAGAAGAACTCTTTCCACACCACCTTAGAGAACCCCTTTTCAAAATCAAGACTTAACCGTTACCAAAACACATATGACTTCAATTGATGTTTGTTTTTGGTGACGGCTAACTCATCAATTTGAACTGGGAAAAACCGACGAGAAAACTTCATTCTTATCAATGGAACTCTTTCCACACCACCTTAGAGAAACCCTCGTTAATATAATCAGTTGGCCATCATCAAAACACAATTCATGTTAGTCAAAACTCATGACATCACTGTGTTTTGGCGATAGCCATCAGATTATTTTTACCAGGGAAAGACCGACTTTTATGAACACTTAATTTCTCAGGAGGTAAGTTCAGTGGCGCGTTGCTAGTGTATTTTCTTCGGAAAATACACTATTTCTTTTTTTATAGTGGTTGCTTCCCCCGTAGGCCTACCAATCCACTTCATGACTAATTACGGAAAAAACAGAGAGGGATGAAGGAGTTTTACGTATCCTCCCGCCTATACTAATGGACCATTTTTTTTTTTTTTTTTTCGCCAGAAGGGCCGAGGGTTTCTTTTACCGCCCTCTAACTTGCACCATACCGGGTCCTGGTTATGGATTCAGCCGTCATAGGAAAGCGATGGCCGCCGGCCGACTGAACGAAGTGCCGAAACACCACTGCATCCTTCGAACCAAAGCTACGGTATCGTACGCCCCCTGTTATAAATTTACGAGGCGTTAGAATATTTAAAATTCCTAGACCCACTCTCTGTTAGGGGAGGGGAGACAAAGAAAAAGAATGAAAAGAAAAAGAGCGAGCCCTACTGGCACGCTTCAAAAGACAAAGAAAAAAGAAAAAAGTAACATAATTGAAATTATGTTACCACGCGGGAGGAGTTGGGGGACTCTACTTTAAAACGCGAATCTACAAGTAATTACTGGGTTTCTTTGCTCTTTGTCTTTTAGGAAGCAAAAAAAAAAAAAAAGTTAGTAGAAAAAGAGGAGGAACCAACACCGGGAAGTGCGTTAAATCGCTAAAAGACAAAGAGAAAAGAAACCTCAAAAAATAAAAAAGAACAACAAATTAGAACTAGCATGCGACAAGCAACACATAACACACACGAGCATCATGTAACGTTTAAAAGCAACACGTAACATATACAAGCAACATATAGCACACAAGCAACACGTAACACGCAAGGAACATGTAACACACAAGCAATACGCAACACACACAAGCAACACGCAACACACTCAAGCGACACGCAACACACATACGCAACACGCATACGCAACACGCATTAGTAGAAACATATAACACATAGATAACAAATGTAACATATAAATAACATATAACACATAAATAACATATAACACATGAATAACATATAACACATAAATAACATATAACACATATAAAACATATAACACACATGCAACACATAATACCTTTACCAACGAGTCCTGGCCAGGGACTGCCCGATCCACCCCTCGTGCCTATATTTATAACGTACGGCGTGGTGCAAACAAAGCCCGGGAGCATTTTCAGCTGTGACGTCACGTTGGCTATCACCGTAAACCATGAAAAAAAAACATCGAAGTGAAAATAAAGCACCGAGGTTGGGAGCCTATCGCGATTGAGTTTGCTCTTGGAGGCCTTAGAGCCTGAAAGGGCAACCAACTTTTCTCCACGGAATATTCGAAACCGAATTGTAGTTGTTGCCAACCTTTACTTTACCCATTGAAGTGAAACCAGAGTACACCTAGGTTCGAAGACTTTCATAAGTAAAATCGTTATTTGGAGGCCGTGTAGGGCTTGAAAGGGCTGCCAACCTCCCCACATGAAAAATTCAGTCGTTGCCAACCTATAAATTCGAAGGGGGGATCCATCATAGTACCAAGCCTAGTCAAGGAAAAATCCCTAGTTTCCGGAAAAAGAAAAAAAAAAACTAGTAAATCCATACATGCTCCACGACGACTCAAACGTCATCAGACGTTTGTCATTTGAACTGACCAACCCCAGCATCGTTTTTTTGGGTGACGTCCTAGCGAAAACTTGTCCCTTAAAATATTGTCGGCAATTTACTCGGCTACAACTTTGCTGATAACTAATTTTACGCTCCGTAATATTAAGCTATTTATTTCCGGAAAAGCGCGTAAAAACGTGATTTTCGGCAGTTTTCCGGCTTTTTCGCAATTGCACAAGGCGGATTTGGTGGGAAGCATCAAATTCGGATTCAGCGACCAAAAATACATAAGAATCAGCTTTAACCTCTTCTGACCTCTTTCTTGCATTCATGAACTCCTATTGGTACTGGACTAACTATGCCATTGCTAATCATTGATTGAAATCTGTGCCGCTTGGGTGAGAACCACACATCCAGAAAATAACGCTGGTAGAATAGATAGTAAAAAAAAGAATCGAAGGAATTAAAAAAAAAAAACAAACAAACAAAAAAACTACATGTTTTCTGGTTTATGGCCTTTGATGGAACTACTAAACGATGCGCAAACGAATTGGTTGATTCATCTAGTTGAATTTTGCCTTCAATTTTGCCGCATAGGCAAAAAAAATTCAAAGAGCGCCTCGAAAAACATGCATCTATTTCGCTTCTAAGGCTCTGTCTTTGATTGAGCAGGCTTGTAGCTGTGAGCTCATCACTGTTCTCGGCCCTTTGAAAAAATTACACTTAAATGTGTTCCCAATAATTATCTCGACCATAAAAATACTATTTAGAGTAAATCATTCGTTTCGCTCCAACCCACCGGCTTGAGTAAATTACGAATGATTTTTAGTCTTTTTTTCCATTGTTTCAATATAATGCTTAAGGATAAGCCGTGTTCTTGAATATTAACTTTCTCTACAATTACTTATACTCGTACTCTACATTATTCCCCCCTCTATTAAACCTCCAGAGGACACGCAGCGCACACTAAGGGTTGGGCTTCGCAGCAGCTACACTGGAAAAAAACCACATTGGATCTGGAGTCCAGACTCTTGAAAACATTGACAAGAAAAAATAATCTTGATTCAATCGGATTTTTGCTTGAATCAAAACAAAATCCGCTTAAATTAAGAGGCTTGGTTCTTGATTTAATCTAGATTCTGATTGAATCAAGAGTACTTTTTCTTGTCGATGTTTTTAAGAGTCTGGACTCTAGATCCAATGTGTTTTATTCCAGTGTAAGGGCTATATATTTACGCTCCTTATATATTTTGCTTTAGATCTATGAACATCTGAAAACTTTTCACGATTGAATATTATTTGTCAAACTTGAATAGCACACCCAGAAGTTCAATACACATTTCGATACACGAGATGGACCTACTAAGTCTATATACCACCTTCGAATATAAAAATGCAAATACAATACTAAATTTACACATTTTGTTTAAACGAAATGTTTTTATTTTTACATTATTTTTTCTCCTTTATTTTAAAGACCCTGGGGTGTAAAGGCTCTTTCTAGGGATCAACTCTTAGTTTCATCGAACGATCACTGATGTGAGTTAATAACTTGAGTACCTGGTGTGATTAATATCAATGCAGTGACAAGCCTGCCCTGCAAAATTCTTAACGCGACATTAATCAGTCATCGGTCTCTGTTACGCGTGGACGAGTGTCACCTGTGGAGAGGAATAGTTGTTGACAATTCAAAAGAGGCCGCGGGTATTATTGATTTAGAAGATTTTGGAAACAGAAAATTCATTGTAAAAAATTTTGATTGCGAATCAATGGAAATTGTGCATTTCGAAAGT